TTTCAAGGCTGGCCATGTGGTATTGGATACCAACTAGGGGATTCATTCCTTAGGAAGACTAATTTCTCTCTGTCACAGCATTTCTTAGTGGCTTATAGTTCTTTTTCAGATAGTAAGTCCTCTGTGATTTATTCCTTCCATGTTAGCATGTCTTGGTAGTGTACTTCTTGAGGTCTATTTAGACAGCCATATTGTGGAGGCATCATTAATGAAGTGTCCCTGTTATTTCTAGGAGACACATTTTTACCGTAGATGGCCTGGACCTCTGGCTCTCACAGTCTTTTGACCCTCTCTTCCATGATATTTTCTGAGCCTTGGGTATAATAGTTGTGTTGTAGATGTATCTATAGGGGCCGGGTACCCAACAATCAGTTGTTTTCTGCATTTTGACCTGTTATGGTATTTGTCTGTTCCAAAGAGAAATACCTTTGATGAGTATATAAGGATGGTATTTAGAATGTGATTAGGAATTATGCTGGTTTAATAAAGTGGTCCTAGCAAGTTCTCCCAAAATCCATGACATCACTAGCCCTGGTCCTATAAACCAAGAAAGAGGTGATTTTTTTGTTGTAGTTGTTGTTTTCATCAAGCAGAAAGTTAATTGTAGAAGAAACATAAATAAATCTAATCCCAGAATGTGATAGATCCTTCACAAGAAAGAAAAATAAACCTCTCAGCTACATCCATCCCTGATAGAACAAGACAAGATTTCACAACAGACCAGCTTTGTTGCGTTGATGATCCTGTATGGCAAAAAGCCCCAGCCATGGAGGTCTGTACTGTTCAAGAGCTCTCTTCTTTAGGCTGCCATGAAGGAAGAGTTGCTAGGCCAATAGCAGAGAGTCTGAAATGGACCCTTAAAAGGATGCTGCAGCATGCATAAAAATCACTGAATATGAAGAGTGGGGAATGGCCCCCATAGGCTCATAGATTTGAATGCTTAGTCACCTGGGAGTAGCTCTATCAGAAATTGTGACCCTGATGGAGTAGGTGTGGCCTTGTTGGAGGAAGTGTGTCACTGACGGTTGGCTTTGAGGCTTCAAATTGTTCAAGGCAGGCCCCGTGTCTTGCACTCTCCTAGCTGACTGCCCATCTGGATGTAGAACTCTTCAGCTTCCTCTCCAGGGCCATACCTATCTGCATGTCACTATGCTCCTGCCATGATGATAATGGACTAAACTTCTGAAACTGTAAACCAGCCCTAATGAAATGGTTTCCTTTATAAGAGTTGTCATGGTCATGGTGTCTCTTCACAGCATCAGAACACCGACATAAGACAGTTGCTGAGACAAATCTTGTAAAATCTTTGGCCATATGGAAAGCAATAGCAACCAAAATGTAAATACAGAGCACATGAAAGCTGGGAAAAACCACTTCCAAGCTACAAGTGTTTGAGCTATGCATGTTGCCTGAGCGCCTCTCAGATGCCCTGCAGAAAGAAATTTGGATGGGAAAGAATCCCAAGGCATAATACAAAGCCTAAAGAGACAAACAGTGATGGTAGAAAACCTGGCAGCTCTCTATCAACAACAGAACTCTCCTGAGACTCGCCAGGGATGAGACTCACTCTGCGCTGAAGCTGTGCTCTGACCCTAAAGATATCTGAAGTCAGTGACCATCTGAGCCTAAGTAAAGCCTCCCAAATAAGCATCTGCTGCTCATTCTACAGATTAATTCTTCTCAACCACTATAACTGACTTGGCTTGTTAAAAAGTGTCATATTGTGGGATAAATATTCATTGTTTCAGTCCCCTAGCATCATACAAATCATACAGTAATATTACAAAGTATGTGAGAATGAAGATCAGAAGAGCTCCTCAGTCAAGGAAGGAGCCACCCAAATAAACAGACATGGAAATGCTCCTAATGCTGAACTTGTCAGTTGTGAGTATTTAAGTAACTACAGTGATCATTCTACAGAACCAACTGAAAGGGGTTGACCATCAGATATAAAAAGGAGACATTCTATCAGTGAAATGCATGCTATAGTAAAGAAAAACTCAAATACTCAAATAATGCTATTTAAAGTTAGGTGGACTGACAGTCATGGAAACACTTACCCTTAATCAGAGCACTCAAGAAGCAGAGCCAGGGGGATCGCCATGAGATTGACAGCCTGTTCTACATGTGAGTTTCAATTTAGCCAGGACCACATAGTAAGAACCTGTTTGAATGGATTAATAGTTGATACTTAGGTAGGTAGGTAGGTAGATAGATAGATAGATAGATAGATAGATAGATAGATAGAAATAGCTGATAGGATGAGTAACAGAAACAACAGAGTATGTATTCAATGAATTTAAAAACAGGTCAAAATATATTATTTCCACTGAAAGAAAGAACAAAACAAATTCTCAATGCATACATAAATCTGTATAAAGCCAAAGCCCAGCTCTTCTATGCATTTATTTGCCTTAATTCTGCTTCAAGTTTCAGCTGTTCCTATTAAGTTAATCTAGAGTTTGTGTGAAGGTGAGAAAGAATGAGGCAGGAAAATATTTGAAGCTAAAATGATGCTAAACTGATGAAGGGAAGCAAATTACAGATTCAGCAGGGCTTGCAAAGCCCAGGAAGGAAAATAAATTAACAAAATCATATAGAAACACTAAAAACAAGTTTTAGGAGAGTAGCGCCTGGAGATAGGAAATTGATGAATGCTGGGAAAATATATCCTGCACAGGAAAATTAAAGGACAGAAACAGACAGAAGACAGTATTGCATAAGAATGTAGAGAGTATAACTTCACTCACCAGAGAAACAAAATACTCTGTGTTTTACAAAAATTAGGATGTATCAGACTCTGGTATTAGGGAATATCTGGACTAGCACATAGGACACATCTATGACACTAAAGCTTTCATGTGCTTTAGGGTGTGGTAACAGGACTGCACAGTTGTAAAATTCATTGAACATGGTACTTCAGTTTTAAATACAAATGATGCTTTGTAGAAAAATGTAATGACAATAGATACATAGGTGACTTTAAGCAAAAATTGTAGTGATCATATCAACTAGGTTAAATCCTGAAGATGGCTGTCTTAGTTATGGTTTCCCTTTCTGTGATGAAACACCATGACCAAAGCAATTTGGTGAATACAGACTTTATCTGGATAACATTTCCATATCACTGTTCACCGTTGAAGGAAGTCGGGACTGGAATTCAAATGGGGCAGGAACCTGGAGGCAGAAGCTTTGATGCAGAAGCCACGGAGGCATGCTGCTTACCGACTTGCTCATGATGACTTGCTCAGCCTGTTTTCTTATAGAATACAGAACTACTATTCCAGAAGTAGTCCCATCTGCAATGGTATTAGTCTTCCTGCATCAATCAGTAATTAAGAAAATGTCCCTGGCTTCCATTTTGTTAATGGCAGGAACATCTAAAATATTATCAAAAATTCTATTCCCCTTTTTCAAAGACAAGGTTTCTCTATAGATTGGCTGTCCTGGAACTTGCTCTGTAGACCAGGCTGGCCTTGAACTCATAGAAATTCACCCACCTCTGCCTCTCAAGTGCTGGGATTAAAGACATGCACCACCACAGGGCTAACAAAAATTCTTGATACAGCATTCATTGTAGTTATCAGATTGTATACTTGGTTCTATTTTTATCCATCCTATATTCTGATAATTTGCATTCTGTCTCCCCATTTCTGCCTTGTCCCACCCAAGATCACCATAAGTGAAAGTTATTTTTGAGCATAACATCAGCAAGTATTTACATGTATTATTTCCTATTTTGTTATAGCCTAAAATAGGCAAGCTATTTATTCCCTCCTCATAGTTTCTACAGTTAATTTGTCTTGTCTCACTGCCTGGTAAACTACTTCCTAGGAAGTATTACGATATGTCTATTTCCTACATAGCAAATGATATGGATCTAAACAAAGCAGAGACTCAATAGATATGCTTTGATTTTAAAAAGGAAAAGAAAATGTCCCAGAAGCTTGCCTACAAACTGATCTTATAGATACATTTTCTGAATTGAGGCTCCCTCTCCTCTAATGACTCTAGCTTGTGTCAAGTTGACATAAAACCAAGTAGGACAACAAAAATCAAAGAAAGGCCCATAATAGCAATATAGAGTCATGGGCACACCACCTAATCAGCTTGAATTCATTGACACTGCATACATGTTCAAGATACAGAGAGGAGCCACTACTATGATGGCCACTCCTTCTGCTGTGTAGAAATAGATTCCTAAGGAAGTTATTTATTGTTTTTGATATTATTTATTAACTTGAGGACACCAGGATAAATTGTTGATGTTAAAGGATGTGTACATCCCTATAATTAATAAATATTTATTTAGTAAAATACTGAAACTGAGTTAATAAGGACGTAGCTTGCCAGACTGGCAGGATTCAGGAACTATGATAGGGCATGGGTTAGAAAGAGATGGTACTGTTAGTAATATATTTTCTAATGTAGCAAAGCATGAGGTAATCAAGGCACATGAGAATTTGAAATTACCAGGTTGATCTCTGTATTGATTAACTTTGACCTATTTTAATCACTGTAGAAAACTGACTATAATGCAAGTCATTGCAAATAAGTAAGAATTTATATATTACATGTTTTCAAGAGAATGCATTATTTTTATTGGAAATTGGTATAGACCTTAAATAATATCAGTGTTTGCCCATAAAAATCTCACCTTATGAAATTTCTGTCAAACTTGGACCCATTGCATATCATACAGGAAGGGCCAAGTACATTTTTTGAATTGTGAAAAGTGAAATTCTCATAGTAATTAATTTCAAGCCAGCTCCACAATTAAGATTGGTGTATAAAAGCTGGTGACAATAGTCATTTGTGTTTATTTTTAAGAGAACAGGAAGGAGGCTCTCCATTGCAATAGCTACTGGTGTTTTCTTACATTTACTGACGTTCTGCTCAGCTTTTCTGAGTGTGATTTACAAGAATAGATTACCTTTGACTATTTCATTGCAGTGCAGATATAATAAAATACTCAATATTGGTATTTCATGTGTCTCCAGATACTCACACCAGAGAGCTCCCAACACTCCTCCACTGTGCAGCAAAGTTTGGCTTAAAGCATCTGGCTCTTCACCTTCTACAGTGCTCAGGGGCAACCTGGGCAGCCGGAACAAAGAATACGGATGGTTCAGACCTGCTGCATATTGCTGAGCAGCATGGTCATGAAGAACTTCTGAAAATCTTTGAAGAATTCATGGTAAGTTTTTCCCTTTCATTATATATCTGCAGCTGGTTCTTTATGTGCGCATGTATACAAACATGAATACATTGCTGTTTTGAAAACTATGGCCTCCCACAGCTAGTAACATGATGTCAGACAAAACCATCTGTTGCTTCAAGCTTGTCTGTTATCTTAAACACATCTTCATAAGATTTTTGAACCAATTATTTACAGAAATCTGACCCCTCCCAAGCCATTTTCAGGTGAAATTGAATCCCATTAGTCCTGCTGATGTCCAGAGAACCTATTCAATATTGGAGAAAAGATGGCAAAAGGGCAATGAAACTATTTATCTTCATTTCTTTGCATAAGAATCTAGATAAGATATTATTTGGTACATGCAAACAGACCGGTAAATGCTGGATTAAAGCATTTTGGCAATCATTCAGAAAGTCTGCCCAATAACAAATCAATTTACATTGTTTGAACTTGTTTCTCTTGTGTGATCCATTTTCTCTCCCTGTTGAGTCTCCATCCTTCGTTGTTTCTGTTGAAACCCCAAATTTCAGGACACTCTAGATAGATGATAGCAATAGATGATAGTGAGAAGGCAATAAGAGAAAGTTTTTAGAAGGGAATGATATTATCTCAGTAAATAAAGCATGCACACTGTGTTCCCATGATCAAGTTTAGAAGAGCCACTGCTCTGTAACAGAAGATGTGTACATTTTGCTTCAGAAAATGAATTATTCTTGTGAAGGCACTGGGGAAAGTTGAATGTAACAATGATGTGGCAGTGAATATGTCAAAATTTATCTTTAATTGTATTTCTAATAAGCAATTCATATAGAAAGATATGATACTATAAATTCTGGTTATTTTATCCCTTAACAGATTATCACAGAAATTAATCAGATATTAGCGTTACAAAAATAGTGACCATTTGTAGTTCCCAAAGAATGAAATGGTAGTCAATAAAGCACTTTTCTCCATTCACCAGGAATATCAAAATCTTTATCAGGAGCTTGTGAGTGCCACGCTGTCTCTGAAGTTCCAAGAGAACGTATTATGCACATATTTAAGATAAACACAGAACATGTAATCAAGTTAAGGAAGCACAGCTTTTCAGTCTAAGGCCTTTAATCAGAAGCGTGTCTCACCTGCATCCTGGTGCACTGTAGGTAGTGATGGTCACACATGCTGATGAATGCATTTTGCTATGTGTCCTCTATACAAGGTCCTCCATCAGAGGATATGATCTGCATCTCAGGTAAGGCCATCAAAGCAGCTTTACATTACCTGTAGCATAGTCATTTGGTTCTCTCTGGATCTCAAGGTTCTGAAATGCTATTGTCTAATTTTCAGTCTCTGGTGAACTCTGGTTTAACCTTCTTCAGTGGTAGTTACTTACTAAGATAATCACCAACTATCAGAGTGATGTTTCCCCATGAGAACTGCATGTGCCTGCTAAATAGCACCTTAGAGTATTCTGATGACTGTCCTTAGGGAAGACACTATAGGGCAGCAACAGAAAGACTGACAGACACAGGAAACTTTTTTTTTTTTTTTGCATGTTCTTGGTATCTCTAATTCTACACTGATTCCAAGTGTTTGCTATCATGGTGTCAAGGTGACTATTCACTCTGTGATACTAGCTTATTGTTAACTTTGTAGGGTTCAACTTGGTCACTGTTGCATGGAATTTGTGAAGTGACTTTTACAGGCTATTTGTAAGCTATTCCTTTGCCAGAGTGTTTCTAGAAAATTGTGTCATTCTTGACTAGACAGATAGCAATCTGTGATCATACTGCTGTGACTGAGCATGTGGCTGTGACTATACTACGAGATGGCAGATCTGTAAATGTATTTTAATGACTATGGATAGCTTAAGCTATAATTTTCAAGCAATCAAATTTCCTCTTGTAAATGTGTGGTTAACAAACTGTAAATATAAACACGATGTGGTGACCGTTGTGGGAAACGTTTCTTATGATTTACAGGTCACATAAATTATTTCTCTACTTATCAATTTTGTATAAACAAATCTGAGCCATAGCTCCTTCATGAAGCTATGCCAGATAACCCCATGTTGATGCTATCTATTCCAAGTTATCTTAGCTGTGTCTTTAAGTATGTGTCTAAATTGAGAAGCAAACATTTTATATTATCATGTTACTAAAATATTTTATTGTTTCTTAAATATTTATATAACTGTAGTGTTGACTCAAATTCTAATCCATCATATATATACACAGATATCTTCAAACTTTCCTTAAACTTTTTTCCCCAAAGATTTTGAAGCACACACTGTTGACATTTGAGGCTTACATTCTACCAATGGATCATTTATTTAAAAAAAAAAAAAGCACCTACTTTTCACTTCCAACATGACCTGGCCTTAGTCAGTTTGTTGATTTATTCTATTCTTCTTAATCTTCCATCAGCAGACATGATTGACTTTAGAGTCTTACATGGAATTATATTCAGTATGTTGTGCCATAATAAGTGAGGGGGAAAGAAGCCAATTACGATTTTAGAATAATATAGTCAAAAGGAATTATCTGCTCTTCATAAACCACATGTGTCCTTATCTTGGAGTCAACTATGTGGAGGCAAAAAAAAAAGGGGGAGCAAGAGAAGTTCCTTTTTTTAACAGGAAAGCAGTGAGACACTATTTTATTAAATTAGCATACTATACATGTTCAGCCTCTCTTTTTGTTTAACTTGGTTTATTAAAATTGTATTTTTAAATTTTTTTATTTAAATTAGAAACAAGATTGTTTTACATGTCAATCCCCTTTCCCTTTCCCTCCCCTCCTCCCCTGCCCCCACTAACACTCTACCTACCCCATGCCCTTTCTGCTCCCCAGGGAGGGTGAGGCCTTCCATGGGGGCATCTTTAGAGTCTGTCATATCCTTTGGGATGGGGACTAGGCCCTCCTCCATGTGTCTAGGCTGAGGGAGCCTCCCTCTATGTGAAACATTTACAAATGGAGTACTACTCAGTGAAAAGAAAAACAATGGAATATTGAAATTTGCAGACAAATGGATGGAACTAGAAGAAACCATTCTGAGCCAGGTAACCCAGCCATAAAAAGACAAAAATGGTATGTACTCACTCATATATGGATTTTAGACATAGAGTAAAGGATTACCAGTCTACAGTCCACACCACTAGAGAAGCTAGGCAACAAGGAGGACTCTAAGAGAGACATACATGATCTCTCAGAGAAGGGAAAGGGACAAGATCTCCTGAGCAAATTGGGATCATGGGGGGAGGGGAGAGGGAGCTAGGAGAATGAGAAGGGGAGAAGTGGAGGGGTCAGGAGGACATGAGGGAGCAGGAAGGTTGTGGAGGGGGAAGAATAGAGGAGAGCAAAATAAGAGATACCATCAAAGAGGGAGCCAATATAGGTTTAAAGTGAAATCTGGCACTAGGGAAATGTCCAGAGATCTACAAGGATGATACAAACTAACCATCTAAGCAATAGTGGAGAGGCTACCTTAAATGACCTCCCCTGATAACAAGATTGATGACTAACTTATATACCATCCTAGAGCCTTCATCCAGCAGCTGATGGAAGTAGAAGCAAATAACCACAGCTAAACACTGAACTGAACTTGAATCCAGTTGCAGAGAAGGAGGAGTGATGAGCAAAGGGGTCCAGAACCACGCTAGTGAAACTCATAGAAACAGCTGACCTGAACTAGAGGGAGCCCTTGGCCCACAGACTGATAGCTGGGAAACCAACATGGAACTGATCCAGACCCCATAAATGTGGGTGTCAGTGAGAAGGCCTTGGAAATAAATGGGGCCTCTTGTAGTAGATCAGTACTTATCACTAGTGTAGGAATGGACTTTGCAAGAGAAGTTCTTAAATAATAGTTTTATATTTTATGACTATGAGAATTTTTGCTATGAGAATTAAACAATTTATTTTTAACTTATGAACAGAGATTTTCATTGTAAACAGCTTTTGGACTTTAATAGTTACTGGATAATTTCATTTTCATTGTGATGAAATAGCCAACAAGAAGCATCTTTGGTGAAGACATTGGTTTTGTCTCACAATTTGAAGATGGCTGTGGCAGTGGGTGGCCCTGAGGTGTCAGGAGCATGCAATTCAGTCACCTCCCAGTGCTCTGAGAGGAGAGAAAGGAGAACACCTGTACCCCATCACCGTTCTCTCTTCTGCATCCTTGTTCAGTTCTGAACCCCAACTCATGAGATAGTGAACCTGATCACAATAGATATTTCCCCCTCAATTAATTCTTCCTAGAAATACACTTGCAATCACATCTAAAAACATAACTCCAAGTTTCTGTAAATATTTCATCACCCAGTCATGTTCACAAGGAAGATAAAGCATCACAGCTGTCTAATACCTGTATTTCTTCTGGGTTGGTGCTATTTCTAGATGACTTCCCCAGCCTCCAGTGGATTCCCATGCCCCTTTACATATTAGCAGCTCTAATTGGAATTAGTGGGCTACAAAAAATACAATATGAAGTTAGGGGTAGAATTTGCTAGGGAGATAAGGGTAGAGCTGGAGGAGGAGAGTGGGGAGAGTATGTGATCATATTTCATTGTATACATGTATGAAAATGAAAAAATAAAAATCCATGTATTTCTACAAATTACAGAAGATTTTAAATAGTAAATCATGTTTTAGTTTCTTACAATGGGAATTAATTTGAAAGGTGGATAGACAAAGGGTAAGACTTAATGATTAAACCTACAACAGGATATAAACTGCAGCTTACTTAGCAGAATGCTTGAAAAAATTCTCAACAATTGAAATAGCAAATAGCAACAGTGAAGATTACTTCAATGATGTAAAAACTAAATTAAAATAATAAAGACCAAGAAAATGAAAGCAAAACTGAAAGCTGGCTTGAATTTGAAAGGACTTTGAGATCCAAGATAAAGTATGCAGCAAATAGTGCTGTGTTTAAAGCAAAATTAAAGCAGTAATACATCCTTGCAATAATTTGCCACACCATTAATCCCCATCAGTGGAAAGTCTTTAACAAAA